TTGAGCTAAAGAGCTAAGGGATAGTGCCCAAGCCTAGAGTTCAAACCCCACGACCGACCAAAAAAAAATGTTATTATTCTTTTTTGCTTTTTCTTCCTTTTAGCCTTTTTCTTCAAAAAAATGTTATTATTCTTTTTTGCTTTTTCTTCCTTTTAGCCTTTTTCTTTTTCTTTTCTTTTCTTGTTGTTTTAAGAGATACGGTGTCACTTTGTTTCCCTGGTTAGCTGTAAATCTCCTGAGCTGAAGCAATCCTCCTCCCTCAGCCTCCCAAGTGACTAAGACTATAGGCACACATGCCACAGTGTTCTTTTGTTTTAAAAGGATGGGCAGAAAGTGTAACAGGCTAGAAAATGTCCACTAGATCATCCACTATGTTAAGAAGATTTATTATAAGTGTCAGAAGTATCAGCTTTGGATATTATAGTTTGTTTCAAATCTTAGTTCTCTTTGCTACTTGCATTTAATATGGTACAAGTAATATAACTTCTCTAATGGCTAATTAAATAATCTATGTAATATTTAAACATTCCTACAGAAATAAGGCATCCCATATATGACTATAATTTTCTATTAAGCAAACTACCTGTGTTTGTAAATTAGTTTATCCGATTTGTTAAAAAGGAAAATCCTTTAAGGTGAACAATAATCTGTAAAAGTAGATCATAAAAGTTAAAGTTTGTAGCTGGGTGCAGGTGGCTCACACCTGTAATCCTAACTACCCACGAGACTAATATCTGAGGATGATGGTTCAAAGCCAGCCTCAGCAGGAATGTCCATGAGATTCTTACCTCCAATTAACCACCAAAAAGCTAGAAGTGAAGCTGTGGCTCAAGTAGTACTACAAAAGCTCCAGGGCAGCACCCAGACCCTGATTAAGCCCTAGGACTGGTGTGTACACGCACACACGCACACACACACATGCACACACATTAAGTTTGTATAAAATCAGTCTCCAGAATTCAGAATCAGCATTCACAAAAGCTTAAGTCAAACAAAGTTCCTGCAGAAACACAATCCTATCCTTCAGAACGTATCATTCTATAGTAACTCTAATTAGAAAATTCCTCTTCAATCATTATGCAATATAAAATAAATAAATAATTATTATTATTGTCTGATATTGACAGCGAATTGGATTACTGGATATTGCATGGACCATACATTCGGCTGTAAACCAAATCTCAATCAGTTTCAAATGACTATTATTATACACAATGTGTTCTATGTTCACAGCATCATTTGGTTGGGAATCAATTAACAGAAAAATAACCTGGAGAATCCCAAATATTTTGAAAGCAAGCAATAGAGTCTAAGTAATAAATGATGGTTGTGCTAGGGATGTGCCTTTGTGGTAGAGTGCTTGCCCATCATGCATGAAGCCCTAGGTTCGATTCCTCAGTACCACATGAACAGACAAAAATGGAAGTGGTTGCTAGCCTTGAGCAAAAGAAGCTCAGGGACAGTACCCAGGCCCTGAGTTCAAGCCCCAGGACTGGCAAAAATTTTTAAAAATTAAAAATAAATTTTAAAAAAATGGTGGGTGAAAGAAGAAATCACAGGGAAATTTTTAAAAACACCTTAACTAATGATATAAAATATACAACATATCAAAATTTGTGAAATAGAGCTAGAGTAGCATTGAAAAGCACATGTTAGCATTAAGTGCTTATATTCAAAGAGACTAAGTATGAAAATTGATGATCTACATTGGAAAGTAGAAAAATTGGTAGATTAAACTCAGAGCAGAAAGAGGGAAGTAACCAAAATAAGAACAGCAATCAATGAAAATTTTAAAGTCAGGAATTAAAAAGAGCTGGTTCTTGGAAGAAATTAATAAGATTGACAAACCCCTACATAGGTAGAGGAAAAAAAGAAGAAATCATAAATTACCAACAGTACTATCTCTTCTCCTACCCCCAACCGCAACCACACATCTCTGTCACCTAGGCCCCTGCCCCAGGGGAAACTAGCAACTCCCTCCATAATGTAGCAACTGAGGGGTTAGAGCTTAACACAGCAAAGGACCTTCTCAGTCCTACAGTGTTAACACCTTGTTAGGTAGCCTTGTCTGAGGACTTCCATGCTCCTAAATGGTTTGCACAGTCAACACTGATCTAGCACAGACAACAGTAAGACAAGAGTTGACATTTTAGGTGATCTCTTATCTGATCCCATTCTAAGTTTTGCATTAGGAAAGGCAATGCTAGCGGGCACCAGTGGCTCACATCTGTAAGCCTAGCTACTCAGGAGGCTGAGATCTGAGGACTGAAATTCAAAGCCAACCTGAGCAGGAAAGCCTGTGAGACTCTAATCTCCAATATACCACCAGAAAACCAGAAGTAGTGCTGTGGCACAAGTGGTAGAGCGCTAGCCTTGAGCTGAAGAGCTGTGGAACAGAGCCCAGGCCCAGAGTTCAAGCTCCCCCCCTGCAAAAAAAAAAAAGAAGGAAAGAAAGAAAGAAGGAAGGAAAGAAGGAAGGAAGGAAGGAAGGAAGGAAGAAAGGAAAGAAAGAAAGAAAGAAAGAAAGAAAGAAAGAAAGAAAGAAAGAAAGAAAGAAAGAAGAAGAAGGAAAGAAACAAGGAAAAGGCAAGGCTTTTTAATGCTTTTGATTGTATTAAACAAAGAGTATACTTTTTGGAATTAAATTTTTTTTAATCCCCCAATTTAATGTCACTCACTGAGAAATGGTATGCTTTAACTGCATCATATCCAAAATCATGTAGAAATAGGAAATAAGAATGAAGGATGCCAGACACCCGAGGACCAGGACTGCAATCCTACCTACTTAAGAGGCTGAGATCTGAGGATCACAGCTGAGAGCCAATCTGGGCAGTAAGTTTCATGAGACTCTTTCCTCTAATTAACCACCAAAAAGTTGGATGTACCTGTGTGGTTCAAGTGTTAGAGCACCAGCCTTGAGACAAAGAGCTTAAGGCCCTAAGTTCAAGCCCTGGTACCAACACAAACAAAACAAGAATAAACAAAAATCTAATATCAATTTCTGCTAGGCAGCTTTGAGAGGGGAAGACCTTAAGTTCAGTTATCTTTTACTGAGTGTTTTTTTTTTTTCAGAATTGAAATAAAAAAAGAATTACAAGGGCTGGGAAGATGGTTCAGTGGTAGTGCGCTTGCCTTGCATGTCTGAGGCCCTGGGTTCGATTCCTCAGCACCACATAAGCAAAAAGAAAAAAGCCGGAGTGGCGCTGTGGCTCAAGTGGTAGAGCTCTAGCCTTGAGCTGAAGAGCTGAGGGACAGCGCCCAGGCCCAGAGTTCAGGCCCCATGACCTGACCAAAAAAAAAAAAAAAAGAATTACAACAAAACTAGGCCTTAGTATAAAACTGGAATTCATTTTTGTAACTACATCCTAAAGGTATATCTTTAAAATATTTATTTAAAATCTAATCGCAAATGGGCTAAAGAGCATAGACTCTTAAGCCAGATTTCCTTGTTTCGCATGTCAACTCCACTCAAGTAAGAGATGTATCCACAAACACAACTGCTTAATCTCTGTGTTCTGTTTCCTCAGATATAAACTTGTATAACTACAGTATATACCTTGAAAGACTTCACATGGATTTAAAAAGCAAATGTTTATAAAGTGCTTAGAATAGTGCCTGGCATATAATAAATGCTAAGAGTTTGTTCAACAAACAAGTAATAAATGCCTTGAGCTACATGAATGATCCTCACCAATCTTTGATAAAGATAAAAGTTCAAGTCTGATACCCAAAGAAAACATTTAAATAGACATTTTAAGGTTCCTTATTCCACCGTCAGCCTCTCCCTCCCTTTCATTTTCACCTGCTCTCATTCTGGTGCCATTCCTTCTCCACAAGTCATCCCATACTAATTAGCTTTTAACTCTTCTTTCATCAACCTAAGAACAAGAAAAGCAAGACAGACCTCTACAATGAAACTCTTAAGTAATAAAAGGAATGGCTACTCTATGGCTACCTAGAGCAAAGGCAAGACAAGCAGATAAGAGTATTTATTTTCCTAGGCTAAAGTGTGATGCACAAAGGCAACACACACACACGCGCACACACACACACACACACACACACACACACACACACACACACACTATTTTCTCTGGTGAGGGTTTTTACCAAGGACTGTGTCCATTTTCTGTTGCACAAATGCCTGCTGTCAAGACTTGATTAGGTCCTTTAGCCTCCTCCTTGTCTCTGATGCTCATCTTTAAACCGGATCTCAATAAGCTTTGCTGTAGAATTTAATGAGTTAGTGCATAGGAAGCACCTACATAATACTGATGGCATAGCAAGATTATTATAAACATTCACAGCTATTATTTGGAGTTGGTCTTTCCAGTTTGACATTGCCTTTCCCTGAAGAGGTCACTCCGGGTGGGTGGAGGAGGGGAGAGTTAGCTGAGGGATGGAAACCCCTGCGGGGGAGACGCTGGAGCCGTGGATGAACAGCGGGGTCACTAATAATAATAATAGCACAGAGGACAGTTTGATTGAAAGTTCCCAGAATAAATCTTGGCACTGGGAATCAGCGCGGAACACTAACAGTGATTTCTGCACGAAGCAGCAGGTTCGATTCTATTGTTAATCGAAGGCTTCCCAAACAAGCCAGCAGAGCCCTCAGAGCCAGCCGAGGGAGGAGGTCAGAGAGGAGCCCCAGCACTGCCTCCACGGTACCAGATTACCCCTGGAGTGGCTTCCTCGGCCTCCACACGCCGACTGACGCCGTTGACCTGTGAGGTCAGGGTGCTTCTGGGTCCTATCTACCTTTCTCTGATCCTTCCTACCGCCACCCAAATGGCAGGTGCCAGACGCCCCAGCAAAGCCAACCACACCAAGACACTGAGTATCCAACTCCAAGGCTGCGGGGGCGTGGCTGACGCGGGTGCCCCACCCAGCCATCCTCATTGGCTGAGAGTGCCGAGGAGGCGGGGTCTGCGCGCGCGAGTCCTGGACTCCAGGGCTCAGCCCGCACTTAGGTCCATGGGGAGACGAGAGTGGGTGAGGAGCGAGTGCCGGAGCCGGGAAAGCCCGGTGACCCCGACCCCGACATGGGGCGACAGGTGAGGCTGCCGCCGGGAGCGCCCTGCCGCGAAGGTGAGTGTGGAGGACTCTGACTTCGGGCTGGGGAAGGACCAGGTGGGCGTTCCGGGGGGGGGGGGGGGGCAGCGAGGACGCGCGGGCCGGATGTGCGGCGTGCGCGCCGTGGTTTATTCACACGCCCCGCCGGCGCACGGATGTTTACCGCTGCCCGAGACCCTCGGAAAGGCCGGCGGGACTCGGCCCGAGCGAGGGGCGGCGCCGGGGTGCGGTAGGACGCTCGGATGCTCGGCCGCGCGCCTGTGTCGCCGGAGAACTTTTCCTCTGACTCAGACTCGTTTCCACAGTCCGCGGCTGACGTCACCTGGGGCGGGGGCCGTGCCGGGGACCCCGCGGGACGGGGGTGGGGGGCGGGACGGGGACCCCGCGGGGCGGGGACGGGGGCCGTGCCGGGGACCCCGCGGGGCGGGGGCGGGGGCCGTGCCGGGGACCCCGCGGGGCGGGGACGGGGGCCGTGCCGGGGACCCCGCGGGACGGGGGTGAGGGGCGGGACGGGGACCCCGCGGGACGGGGGTGGGGGCCGTGCCGGGGACCCCGCGGGGCGGGGACGGGGGCCGTGCCGGGGACCCCGCGGGGCGGGGGTGAGGGGCGGGGGCGGGGGCCGTGCCGGGGACCCCGCGGGACGGGGGTGGGGGGCCGTGCCGGGGACCCCGCGGGACGGGGGTGGGGGGCCGTGCCGGGGACCCCGCGGGGCGGGGGTGGGGGGCCGTGCCGGGGACCCCGCGGGGCGGGGGTGAGGGGCGGGACGGGGACCCCGCGGGGCGGGGGTGGGGGGGCGTGCCGGGGACCCCGCGGGGCGGGGGTGGGGGCCGTGCCGGGGACCCCGCGGGGCGGGGGTGGGGGGCCGTGCCGGGGACCCCGCGGGACGGGGGTGAGGGGCGGGACGGGGACCGTGCCAGGGACCCCGCGGGACGGGAGTGAGGGGCGGGACGGGGACCGTGCCGGGGACCCCGCGGGGCGGGGACGGGGGCCGTTCCGGGGACCCCGCGGGGCGGGGACGGGGGCCGTTCCGGGGACCCCGCGGGGCGGGGACGGGGGTCGTGCCGGGACCCCGCGGGACGGGGGCAGGGGGCGTGCCGGGGACCCCGCGGGACGGGGGCCGTGCCGGGGACCCCGTGGGGCGGGGGCCGGGGGCGGGCCGGGGACCACGCAGGGCCGGGGCGGAGGGTGTGCCGGGGACCCCGTGGGGCGGGGGGGGGGGGGGGTGGCGTGCCGGGGACCCCGCGGGGCGGAGGGTAGGGGCGTGCCGGGGACCCCGCGGGACGGGGGCGGGGGGCGTGCCGGGGACCCCGCGGGGCGGAGGGTAGGGGGCGTGCCGGGGACCCCGCGGGGCGGGTTGGGGGGTGGCGTGCCGGGGACCCCGCGGGGCGGAGGGTAGGGGCGTGCCGGGGACCCCGCGGGGCGGAGGGTAGGGGGCGTGCCGGGGACCCCGCGGGGCGGGGCGGGGGGGGTGGCGTGCCCGGGATCCCGCGGGGCGGAGGGTAGGGGGAGTGCCGGGGACCCCACGCCCAGGCAGGGTGCGGTCTCCGCAGGGGTCGGACAGACGCCGGCTTCCTGCTCTTTTTGGAATGGAGCGTCTCTAACCCTGGGGCCTGGCTCCGGAACCCGGCCCCGCGCCCCGCGCCCCGCGCCCCGCGCCCGGCGCCGTCACTCCTGGGCGGTTTAAGATGGGAACCTTTCCCGCAGAGGAACTGGAAACCTAGCTTGTTCTTGGTCAAGCGCTCCGTGCTCGCTCCGTGCTCGCTGGGCTAGGTTTTATGGTCCTCTCCTGAGCCCTGTAAAGTCTCTGGGCGCGGCCTCTTGTCCTTCCCCAGGTGTTGCCCAAACCCCACCAGCTTTCTTCTTTCCCATCCTAGGAGCCGGTTTGGGGGCCAAAGGGTTGGGAGTGGGGTGGGTTACTGGGGCTTGAACTCAGGGCCTGGTGTTCTCACTTGGCTTTACCTGCTCAGGGATTGCGCTCTACCGCTTGAGCCATACTTCCGCTTCCAGAGTTTTGGTAGTTAATTGGAAAGAAGAATCTCACAGACTTTCCAGCCTGGGCTGGCTTCGAACCTTAGGGCTCACAGCCTCCTGAATCGTTAGGACTGCAATTTCCTAATTTACCTGTTTACATAAAGAGGAGCCTGGCAGAGAGCAGCATACTGAAAACGATGCCTTTGCAAAGTTACTAGCAACTTACTCAGATTCCTCTCGGCTCTTCCAATTTTTTTCTATGCTGAGGAAAGTTTTTTAAAAAAATGAAATGAAAAGCAGTGAATTCTGCCTATAGGAAAGATAAGGGAAACACACACTTGGAAGAGAGACGGCCTGGATAATTAATAACTAATCCCAAATTGAAATTGGTGTTGGCAACTGAGCCTAGAATTATTTCCTTGATAAGTCAGTTTGTGTGCCATTCGTAAAGAAGCCAGGCTGTTACTAATATACCCTACTCTTGTTTGCTTAAGGCTCTTCAGGAGGGTGTGTGAACTGTACCCACTTGCCTGACTTCCGGGAGTTTTCCTGCTGTCCTCATGCATTTAGCTCCAACAAGAAGATCAGTTCTTAACACCAGTTATTAACTGTGGTAACAGTGTAGAAAGCTGGCAGAAAAGATTAGAGAAATTGGAATCCATATTTTCAGGGATGGGAAGAGAGGAAGCTTTGCTTCAATCTTCTCAGATCTAACCTTATTTGTCTATAAAACAGGAAAGATTCCTACTGAGGGTATAACTGTAGGTGTAGATGGGATCATGTATGAAATTTCAAAGGATAGCATGGAATAAGCTTTCAATTTTCCACTTATTCATTGTTTGAAATAACAAGCAACAGTCCTCATGAACCAGGCCCTAACATAGGTACTAGCTGACAGGGATTTACAAGAAGGTGCCCCTGGCCTGCATCTATAGAGAGAAAATTCCGCTCTCATTCGGCTTGCTTCCCAGATGGCAGATCATATCCAAGGAGCAGATGAGTTTAAAAAAAGAAAGAAAGAAAGAAAAAGGTAACTGCAGTTGTGCTAAGAGTGACACATAATGTATTCAGGATGTTGGGGTGTTTAAAGTGAAAGCCCTCTGGAGGAAGTGGTAATTGTAGCTGAGACCAAAATGAGGAGGCAACCATGAGATGTGAGAATAAAGTCAGGCTTTAAAAGATCTTCTTTTCCCAATATAGGACAAAAGTCAAATTTAGATTTGTTTGAAGGGTATTTTTTTAATTTAGATTTTCATTATTGTGCATGTTCTACAGACTGTAAATTGAGTCGTCCAACAGCCAACAGAATTTTACAATGGAGAAATATGACCCCCCTGAAAAATAGAATGTAAGAAATAAAACCATCATCTGTGAAGCTCTATCTGCATCAAGATTTTTTGCCAGGGACTGTAGAGGATTATGAAGAAACCAAAGGGCAAAGAATGGGATTCAAAGAGGACAAACAGTAGATATATCTTAATACATCTCTCAACCTCAACCTGGGTTGAGGTTGGGGAAAGTAGGTTGGAAATATTGTGGAATCCAGGGGTTTTGAAAGTTAGCTTTGGTGGAGCAGGCCACTTGTCCTGGCTACAGGCAACCTGTGGAGAAAAATGTCACAAAGAGTACTTAGTATTGATTCAGTGGTCTTCTTGGTCAGCTGATATTTGCTTTTAAGAGAAGGAAATTAATGAGAACTGGTTGTGTGTCTTGTGTACTGATTAAGATATGTCCCATACACGTGTAAATAATCTTCAACTTTCAAAACAGGTTCATATAAGCGTCAGTTTATCCTCATACGTAATTCTGTGAATTTTATTAGACAGTTCTCCATTTAACAGATAAAGAAAGTGAGGTCCAGATGACTAAATATGGTTTCATAATTAGCAATCAAAGTAATCATGATTTGGGCCTGTATTTCTTCTTGCAATGGACTGAATGGTTGTATCCTTTCAAAATTCATATGGTGTAGCTAGAGCATGAGGCTACAGACCTAATGAATGAGATTCCTGATTGAGTATCCCATATCCAAAATGCTTAGGAATGGTATTTCAGATTTTCTTTTTAAATGTGGGAATATTTACATACACATTAATGAGATAATTGTAAAGATGAGTCCCAAATTCAATAAGAAATTCATGTATGTTTCTTTTTTAGTATAAGCTATATTTTTATTAGCATATATTAATTGTACAAAAAGTTTCATGATATTCCCATACATGTGCATCATTCAATCAAATTCATCTTCCCAAGCCCCTCCCCTTTTTTATTTCCTTTACCCTCTCTTTTCCCTTATTTTCCATTTTTTTTGGTCTAGATTCCACATATGATAGAAAGCATGCTATATTTGCCTTTATGAGACTGGCTTGATTCACAACATGATCTCCAACTCCATTTATTTTCCTGAATATGGTAAAATTTCATTCTTCTTTATGGATGAATAAAACTCTATTGTGTGTGTGTGTTTGTAATCATATTCTATTCATTTATTGATATGGCCCAAAACTGGTGCTATAATTTGACTATTGTGAATAGTGTGCTACCATTCACAATATTGCTATCTTTATAGTAAGTTGACTTTGTCTTTGGGAGGTATGTGCCCAGAAGTGCTATGTTTGGATCTGTGAAAGTACCATTATTTTTTTTAGAAACTTCCACACTGATATCCATAATGGCTAGATTAATTTACACTCTCACTAGTAATGAATAAAGGGTTCCATCCCTAACCATCAATATCCTTACTTCTGCATCCTGGTCATCAGTTGTTGTTGTTTGTTTTCTTAATGATAGCCATTCTGATTGGGATGACATAGAACCTCAATGTACTTTCGATTTTCATCTCCTTGATGCTAGAGAGGTTAAACTTTTTTTCATGTACTTATTAGCCATTTGTACTTCCTTATTTGAATATTTTAGATAAACTTTATACAACTTGTCTGAAGGTAATTTTATACAATATTTTAAGTAATTTTTTACATAAAACAAATGTTTTTTTGTGTGGAATTTTTACATCACTGTTCAAAAAGTTTCATATTTTATAGCAT